CCAGACAGCCAACTTCTTGAATCAATAAATGATGACAGTGACCACTAATATCAGTCGCTTAGCAAAATAAAAAGGCAAAACCACCTCCCTTTTCCTTTCAAAGTTTGCCTGCAACTGAGCCTCTCTGAGGTTTCTTCAACTTTGGTGTCACCTTGAGATCTCGCACTATTAAACAGCCCCACTGTCAACAATCAATAAATTTGGTCTGGCCCTCTATCCCTCTTTTGTCTCGGCAAATGAAGCTGATGGATGAAAAAGAGCCCCGTGCACTCTGCCAGGTAATGTGCTGTGAACGGCCGTGTCAATAATTTCGGGGTTAACGGGATGCGGGGATGGAGGCCGAGACGGCGGAGGTGAATTTAGGAAGAGCGATGCGTTCAGAGCGGGACACAGGAGCAGGGTCAACTCTCAGGACAACTTAATATTTAATCAACCCCCCTCAACCGTAACCCTAAACCCCACAATCCCCTCCGGACGGGCAAGGAGACGACGGCGAGAGGAGGAGGGAGGGCGAGATGACACTTTATCTTTCAAACTGTCTTGTGCTTTGACTGAGTGCGAATTAAGTGACAGAGAGATGGAAAAAAGACAAAGAAAAGATGAGACGGGGGACGTTTGCTGGGTGACAAAGACGACGAAATGACCGTGTGTAGCAGACAGAGACAGACAGATGAAAGAGAAATGGAAGGAGGTGAATAACGGCTCTAAAGTCTTCTTCGTCACACAGATTGGAGCTCAGTGGCCGGGCTGTTTCGGGCAAGGTTAAAGAAAGCGATGAGCACATCACGATGCTGAATGATGGCATGATGGATGTAGGTGGGACAGGGAGCAGAGACATTACAGTGTCGGGTCAGAAACACATTCATAAAGGTGCTCGCTGCTGATGCATGAAGCTGTTAAAGCTCCGGCTTAACAGCTTCAGTCATTTCCATCCAATTATCATAAAACAGGTTGTCCAGGAGGGTGTTTTGATCAGCCAGGTCAAGTTTAAAGGTTTTACACATTACAAAAAAAAAACACAGATAAAGATCGAATAAGTAATTTAGATATTAAATATTACAATTTTATACAAGCAAATCTGATTTAAAAACATTTAGAAATTTTTAGCCAAAACTGGCTAACGTTAGCCTTTGTGAACACCGCAAGGGATCACTACAGTACTACACTGGATATAAACAGTTGTATAGTTTGTTGTTTAGAACTAAAGCTCTCATTTTCAGTCATGATTTAAATTCAGCTTGTTTTGTAAGGATTGGTGCGTGCATCTTCGTCTCTCCATTTTGACCCTATAACAACATTTTTCCAAAGCTTTACAAAAAGTAAAGCTTTGTAGAAAAAGTGCTATCTCTCTGAAAAGAAAATGTAACCGCAGCATAAATAACGACACTTTGTTGACTTTATTTACTCCCTGTTGTCTACAAAAAGTTTCATTTCTGGTTTTTCTGTCGTTGGGATATTGCTGCTGTCTGACTTAATAGTCGTGATTATTTTGCAGCAGAAACCTCATCTGTAGAAATTTGCCAAACTTGGCAAAATTGAAGCTGTAAAATTTCAAACTAGAACTCAGTCAGCGCAGTTATCCACCAAGGCCAACGCCCTGTATCGCAATTTTAAAAAGTGATCCAGATCTGCACCAAAACTATGTGAGTTCTTCCTTTGGCTATGTTTAGCCTCTCCACCATGTTTCATGAAATTTGTCCTTATAGTTTTTTGGTAAAAGTAATAAATACATAATCTGTCTATAGATGTTCAAATTCAATAGGCTAATTTCAGATCCTGGTCCAGCATAATGTCAGCTCTGCTAGCAAAATTTTACTAAAAGCCTCCTCATTAAAAGATTTATGTGTCTAGTTTTACCTCCTAATAACCTTACAAATACACCTGAAGAGGTGAATAAGAGTTTAAAGAGGTGTCACGTGACCAGCAGAGTGGAACTTGATTGGCTGTAAGTTCAATTTTAGATAGAATCCAATGCTTATCTTAACTGAACTTTTAGTTAATAAAAGTGTAATTTTGAGATCTAAATATGAGCAAGTTGAATAATCAACAGTGATAATTATAATGTTTATGGAGTAAATATACCATAATGTCCTCTGACTGTTATTATTACTCTGGCTTCCAGTCATTTTGCTTCTGTGGCTTCCAGCTGAGAATCACTGACATGTAAGTTATATATTAATTTGTGAACAATGTGAAAATAGAACAGTGTCTTATTCAGCTTTTGACTAGGTGGCAATACAATGTAAAGTGTGTAAATTCTTCGCATATGTCAGTGAAAAGTTTTGGCTCGATGGTGGCTCGAGCACAAAGGTCGAGAGGTCACCAGAATCAGTAGCATTTATCCTCTGGGGACGACAAATCATCGAATCAAATTTCAGGGCAATCTGGTTGTTGAAATGTCTGCTGTCGACTAAAGTGCTGGATGACACAGGAGCCCATTTTAAATCACATCAAAAACACATTCGTCTGTAATCCAAATAGGTGCTATTTTCTCACACAGGAACCTTTCACACCAAAGCTGAATGTACAGAATATGAAACCTGTGAACATACTGTGCCTCCTCCTGTGTTCGGTCAGTGGGATGTTGATCTATACTGCATGGATTTTTATATTTTCTCTCTTGTTTCCTGTCTAGTCTCTTAAACAGCATTTTGATCATACTGCAATATCTGATCAAGAAATATCCATCATTTATACCTAACTTTTCTTGACATTTCATTTTCTATATTGCCTGATAGTCATTATTAGGTCAAGGTCAGATCTTAATTACCAGTAAACCTTATGGCTTTGCCTCTACAAACACATAATTTATTCTGTGTTTGCTAATGTCAGAGAAATGATTCAGACCTTGACCTCAACACACTTCCAGCAGCTCATTCTGGCGCTCCTGCTGCCAACCATTTATTTTCCGTTCCTTCTTGTCTCAAGGTCGTGCTCGAAAAGACCTGCGTTCAAGGCTTTTGGATGCCAACCGGTAGGCAGCTCTCCAATGCAGGAACCCAAGGCATCTGCAAGTTGGCACAAGCATTTACAGGAACAACCCTCGCAATCAGTCTATTCAGCCTTTGTTTTTATTGCAGCGTAGGGTCCAACAACATCGACTGTGATGTTAACTCTGAGTGTGGCATAAGAGTGACAACTAGTTACTGGACACAACTCCAGTTTCATGACCCAGTTTGGTGAATTTTATATCGTTGATGACGATGGTAGAGAGGAGACGGCTGCTACTTGATGAAGATATCAAGAGGGTTGAGGAAGTGATGCTTTTAGTCCTCTCTGAGTTAAACCAATCAGTATTTAGCTTCTCTTAGTTAAGTCAGTGTCAAAACCCTCATAGCAGTTTATCAGCCACTCATAATTAACTACCCTGGAGTAAATATTCTTTTGTCCCTTGTCGGTTTTTGCATTTGGAACAGGCACAAAGGTTCAGGCCATCCTTAAATGGCCTACAAGTTCCTGCAGTGGAAAATGTCAAATAGCGCTACCAACAACAAAAGCATGGCAGTGTTGTTGCGTTTACTTCTCGTTCCACCTCATCATAAGCTCATGCTGCCTTTTTTTTTTGGTTTAGTTTGGCACCTGAAGTTTGTGTTGTCGTTTACATAAATAAAAGTAATTTTCACCATATGTTGGTGCAGAAAAAAAACACAAGTTGGTGCATAAAGGTTGACCAGAATGCCAGAAATTAAGTGTTTTAATTTCCTGAGGGAGGACGCCCTGACCCCCTGCTTAATGTGTCCCACTCAGTGTGAAAGCTAAATCTACTAGCAGCAAATTATTTTGTGAATAATCTTTTTCTTCAGCATCATCAGTAACCATCTTACTGTAGTTACTGATGAGAGTCCAGTGAAGGTTGAGCATCCAGCCAACTGTGGCCACCGCTTGGCACTGCAAGCTGCCTATCAGCTCGCCCGTGGGCTCAGGGCGGCTTTCCCACCGAGCAGGCCAGCCGCCATGAAGCCTGAGGGGTGCTTAGAGGAGGGGAGGGGGGGGATAAACGATGAAGAGCAAGCCGAGGGGAGGCGGGGTAGTGATGAATGGCAGCAGGTAGGCAGGCAGATGGGCCGTCGGGACCCCCTGCAGGTCCCCGTGGAGGTGCAGGCGGCCGAGTTCAGCACTGAGCCACCCAGCCCGGCGTCAGCACTTTGGGGAGAAGCTGGGGAAAGTGCTGAGGCGGCAACCACGTAGGGAGATGAGGTGAAGTGGTGAAAATTTACCCAGGCTGATGAAAGTTTAAGTGTGCATGTTAAACAGGAGAGAGAGGGAGGTGAAGTCTGAGAGGCTAAAAGGATGGCAGGAGGTGACTGTTGGGGAGATTTTTTTTCCTCATTGTTTCTCCTGCATGACTCAAACAACTGTCTTCTCCGGCGTGATTCTAATTTTACCTGACACCTCAGGGTGCAGCGCAGCTCTTTTTTTTTTTGACCCTGGCTTGACCTCAAAAGTAACATCATATCCCGCTTCCAGTTTTTTTTTTTGCTTCTTGATAATTAGCTGCAAGGACACTGTTTTGTTTCAAGGACGCCGGCTGCATCCCTCTGCACTGCGGCCTGGCTCATATACATGCCAGAGCCTCGTAGCGCTCTCGTTCCGCTGCCTTTCACATGGAGCTACGTGAAGCAGCCGGTTCGCTCTGTGGTCTGCGGAGAAGTGTGCGGTGGGAGGGAGAGGTAGAGTCAAGCGGTGTGATTACATAAGGTTGGGTAACAGGCTCACTGTGGGGAAGCACACTCACTAGACAGTGTTGATGGAGTCTTTCACAGGCCTGATGGGGTGTTGATTAGGATGTGCTCACACACAAGGACCAGATGCTGAAACGGATCCTAATGTGCTTCTCTGTCTTTGTATTCTCGCTCCCTCTGATTTATCCTCATCCCTGCCATTTCCCCTCTTTCTTTGCTGCCCCTTTGGCTGTCCTCCTCTCTGTGCGAACACCAAATCATATCCCCATTCTCTCTTCTCCTCCTTCCCTCCCCTTTTGGCCCTCCGCTGATTTCCAGGTGCGGTGCGAGCCTCCAGCATCTTCCCCATCCTCAGCGTCATCCTGCTCTTCATGGGAGGCCTGTGTATAGCTGCCAGTGAGTTCTACAAGTCACGCCACAACATCATCCTCAGTGCAGGGATCTTCTTTGTGTCTGCAGGTGAGTCAGGACAATCTGTCCAACAATGTGCACTTCAATTAGATGAGTTTTAGCTGAATAATGAGCAACCACACTACATGAATACCTCCTGCAGCTATTTCACAGTAAAAGCCTTTCACTGTTACTTTATTATTTTATGAATCACATCTTTATTAAATCACCACAAAATGTGTTTTTATTTATTTATCAAACTCTTGTAGCCATACTTGCTAGTTGTCCATGGTAATAAATATAATTCAGTTTGGTTCCCATTCTGTATTACCATTTTTCCCTTTTATCCAAAGACAAAGTCATGGTTGCCTTCATAGGTCTCTACTACTGAACATTGAACTTGGCCCAGTTGAATTCTGTTTATAAATTCAAAACAGAAACATAGAAGGCCGTTTTACAACAACACAATATTTTATACTCCTCTAATGCTGTGTCCACACCAGACGCGAGTAAAATCATACACGCGAATGATTTACATGTAAAGTCAATGTGAAGACGCGATTACACGCAAGTAAACGACCCTCAGCGCAGATTGTGCAATTAGCATGGTGCAAATGACACGAATTGAGCGAGTTATTTGCACAACTGACATAATTCTCGCTGCGTTACATACGCGAAAGATGCAAATTCGCGTTGGACGTGCAAGTTGAAAACTGAACTGTAGCAATTTTTCGCGCCATGATTGCCAATCAGCGTTGAGATTCTCTGGTGATGTCAAGAACATGATTCATTCAGTTTTTGCAACGACACCGTGAATATTGATTGATTTACTCACCGTAGAAGATAAATTTTATTTTATTTATATATTTTTATTTTTCCTTTATTTAACCAGGTAGGTTAATTGAGAACAGGTTCTCATTTACAATAACGACCTGGACCAGAGGCAGCACAGAGCAGAAAATACTGAATCACTAAATCACTCCAAAAAAACGCTAAAGTAGCCACATTACTAGCCAAGGCAGATCTCAGTGCTCAGCAAACTGGCTGTCCCTCTCTAGTCCACAGACAAGAATCCCACCTCTTCAACTTAGCAAGCTAGCGAGCCAAGTTGCTTGCTATCGCAGGCCTAGCAGGATAAACCTCCGCTGGCCCCGCTGTGGTCAACGTACTCCTGCTGGTGACCGCTCATCCGTGTTATTGTTGTATGTGGCGTGGAAAAAACAGCGCTCTCTCCCAGTAGCAGAGCAGCTGGGATACAGTGCCTGTAGTTGGTATCCTGGAGGGATATCCTGGTACCGATCCTCTCCAACAGGTCGTCAAACTGGGTCCAGGTCAGCTGAAAATAGCACTGGAAGCGGCCGTCATCCAGGCGCAGCTCCTGGAGAAGGTGGTGGAATTCCCCAAGCTGTGTGCATCTCTGGAGGATCCGATGGACCATGGCGGTGTCTGGAATCCAGACACAAATCTTGCTGCGTTAAACGCACAAATGACACAAATTATTAGAGGCTAAAGGCTGAGTCATGCTTTCTGCGTATCGCAGTAGAACCATGTGCGCATCTGTTGTTTGCTTTCAGAGTGTGCATCGACCATGTGGAAACCATGAACTGGCCTTCACTTATCAAAGTTGATGGGTTCCTAGTTTGGTACAAAAGTATCTGCGCACCACCACATTCATGTTTACTGTACAGACATGACAGTGGTGTCCTCTCATGTCATTATTCCACAATGCAAAACTGTTCCTCTAAGTGGTTGTCATACCTGCTTCTGTAATTAAAACTGCACCACCGCATAAATCAGAAGGACTGAATTGAAATATCTTGAGCTGTTGGTTGAGTCTTGTACGGCAGCTACGAGTCACTTCTTCTTTTGTCTTCCATTCTCTTCTCTTGATTCTGTTGCTGGGCTAAAAGCCACCCACTGGGACTCATCTCTAAAAATATGGTGTCCCTGACACACTTTCCCTATGATCCATCTTCCCAGATATACCATGTCAAACATTTGTGTGACTAAATCAACAACTCCATACTGTACATACACTATATGTGGATATATGATGGATTCTAGTACAGAACACAGCTCCAATGTGGATTATTTTACGCTCTGTCTCAAATGATCTGCATTAAGACATGAAGCCACCCTATTTCTCACTGCAAGGGCAAAGATTAGGAGTCCAGTATCAGTCATGTTAGATGGAGAGTTGGACAGGATTGGTACACTGTGTACAGTGCATGAATCAGCGCTCTCAACACACTTAGTATGATCCTGCATATTCAGTTACCAAGAATAATCCTATGAGCTCATCTCCACTGATACTTTCTGTCTTGTTTTCTTCTTCTCTTTGTCCTTTTCTCCATCTCATCTCTCCATGAACTCATTACCCACAACTCTCATATGACGCCCTTCCTTCTTCTCTCATCCCGTCAGGCCTGAGCAACATCATCGGGATCATCGTGTACATATCAGCCAACGCGGGGGACCCTTCAAAAAGCGACTCGAAGAAGAACAGCTACTCTTACGGCTGGTCCTTCTACTTCGGTGCCCTCTCTTTCATCATGGCTGAGATGGTGGGCGTCTTGGCCGTGCACATGTTCATCGACCGCCATCGACAGCTGCGAATAGGGGCACGCGCAGCCGACTACCTCCAAGGCTCGGCCATAACGCGGATCCCTAGCTACCGCTACCGCTACAGGCGCCGCTCGCGCTCCTCCTCCCGCTCCACAGACCCATCACATTCTCGCGACACCTCGCCAGTGGGCCTCAAGGGCTTCAGCGCGCTGCCATCCACGGAGATCTCCATGTACACGCTCCCCCGGGACACCCTCAAGTCCTCCGGCACGCCCACCGCCACCTACAACTCTGAGAGGGACCACAACTTCCTGCAAGTCCACAACTGCATCCAGAAGGACCTGAAAGACTCGAGCCACACCAACACAGCGAACCGCCGCACCACGCCTGTATGAGGGAAGTCGACACAGGCCAGGCCAGCCCGGCGAGACCAGGAGACACGGGAACCCCTGTGGGTGCAGTACGCCCCAGGAGAAGATGGATTTCCATGTTTATAGACATTTGTTCTTTTTGTTCAGCTGCATGACTTTTCCATTACCATTGTTGAGAGAGTTTCAACAAGTCTGCTGTGTTCCTGGATTGAATGGCAGAAGCGTGAGAGTGGGTCAGGCTGTCCCGAGAGAGTGAGATCTGTCATTTTTTGCGCAGGGTTTGTTTATGAGATTCGGGGCGCTGAAAGGGACGGGGTGGGAGGGGTGGGCATTTATGAGATAAAGAATTGATTTCATGATTTCATTGCCCTTTGGTTTGACAGTTTTGCCCCATGAGTTCGGTTGGAGCAACAGGTCAAGCTCCCCCTCAGCCAGCCCGCTGCTCAGATACACACCTCTTTTATTTATTGACTCATTTGTTCATTTTTTGCATTAAAACTGTGAATTGTTACAGCTTGGGATTCAGTAAGAATTACCCCAATCTGTAATCTCTAACAAAGGTACTATATATATATGTATTACTTTTATAAATAAATTATTACGTTAATAATCAAGAGATAACAGACTTTACCGAAGCAAAAAAGGAAAAAAAAAACAAAAAAACAAGTTAACTAAACCAAGTGCTGTTGGTAACACGAGAAAAGACTCTTTTAGTATCCGTTCATTCGAAGGTCGAGAACAAGAGAAGAGGCTTTAGGTAGCAGCAGTGCAGCGACTGATGCCACCAGAGGCAGACGCAGACAGTCAACAGTAGAATAATATCTATTCTTTTAATAGAACCTTCTCGTCTTTTTCTCAGTCCCTGTTCGCTTTCTTTTTTTGGGGGGGTCGTAACGGGAGAGTCGAACCCCTTTAACAGAAAGAGCCAACCGAAGGGGTCGCAAAGCAAAGACTCCAAACACGACTTCTGCAAAATAAAAAAAGGAAGGAGCAGAGGGAAAGGAAAAGAAGAGGACGCCAAACACAAAAATAAAAAACAAGTTAAATATGAAATAGTACAAGAGAAGCTAAGTGACTCACAATTTCAGAAATTAAATGCATGCTATAAAATTACAGCAAATCTGCTCTTGAGAAACTTAAGTTTTAAAGGTTAATAATTATAAGGGGAAAAAAAAGCAAAGGCGCTAAAGTATTAATGTTTTCATGTGTACTTTTCTTATGTTTTCTTTTTTTATTTATTTAGTTCATTTTATCTTATTGCTTTTGTGAGACAAACCAAACAATCTACATTGAACAAAACTGCTTTTTTAAACGGTTTGGTTGAGTTCTTTATAAATATATAAATATATGTATGTATGTATTTTATTTTTAAAACTCACACAGCCTTAGTCATTTCTTTGTTTCTTTTGATTTTTAATGTGTTGTTCAAATTGAAAAATGAAATCTTTAAAGGTGCCAAAACCGAATGATCCTATACTTGGATGCATCAAGTCCTGATGAATAAAATACGAACCCTAGGGGGAACAAATCACCATGTTTCACTGTGTGTCTCTACCTCACTTTAACCCACAACACCTTCGTTGTTTTTTTTTGTCAGTTTTACGTGCTGACACTTGTCTGTCTAGCACATCATCATAACTTCAATGCTGTTCCTCCTTATTACAGACAGAAAAATAACAGATATTTGTCAAACAGAACATTGGTTCACAGTCTTCTGGTTGCTTTAAATGAATGAAAATGTCCACATTTCTCTACTCATCATAGATTTTGAGCTCAGTGTGGACAAAAGTTAAGAGCATTTCAATCAGAATGAAAGCCGCAAGCGGCGATGGACGGGTCCTCGCCCTACGCTTGTCGGCCTTCGCCCACGGCGGGGTGTGGCGCAAACCTGCTCCTGGCGGGACTGGAAGGTTTTTCTGGAAAAAAAAAACACATTATGTATTTGG